AGAGTAATGTACTTGGGATGGGGTTCTCAGACCTGTTTCTGGAAAGACAAGAGAAAACGGGTATTGGTGTGGTTTTCCTTGCTGTCCAGAGTAGAAATTGAGCTTTAAGAAAAGTGATATTCTGTTTGAATACACAGTGATGCCAGCCCTGGCAGAGTCCTTTTCTTAGCAAAGGTAGTAGTTGATCTGTAATCAGAGAGCAAAAGCCTCAGGAGAAGAGAATAATTTCTTTTCATTGTTTTTTTTTCTTTTTTTTCTGATTTGTTTTTAAGTGGAACTGACTTTTGAACATTTGAGAAATCACATATAATCTGATATACTGAAACCCAAGTCAATTAAATTTAATAAGGAAAATCTATCTATGCACCCATATCCTCTTCCCGAAAAGGCCCTCTTTTCTTCAGTTTGAACTCTCTGGGGACTGCAGTGCTTTGACGTCACCCTGGGCCGGAGAACACTGTTAATTTTTCCAGCAGTGAGCACCTAACCTAAGTCAAGGAGCCTCTTATGAAGATGTGGAGAACTCAGTACCAGAAGGAGCATTAAGAAAGGCTCTCTCTGGTGCCTGAGGCGGTAAGATTTAACACTGAGCGCTGTGACAGCCTTGTTCTCTACCTCTTGAAGAGAACTGATCTGCATCGCGGGAGGAGATGGACGCAGGAGCGCAGGTCAAAGCAGACACACGGGGTAGAGAATCCTGAGGCTGCGCCAGTTCGAAGTTCTTGTCTCACCCGGGTTCCGGCTGCAGCCCCTCTCTTTTTGCATAAGTTAAGTCAAACTGGATTTCTGGCAGTTGGACTCTTCAAACATTATCTCTTTTCTAGCCTACTTAGGTTTCTTAAAAATTTTTTTTGAAAATAGGAAATATAAAAATTAGGGTTTATTATGACTATAAATTGACTACACACACGTAATACAATGCAATACACAGAGTCAACATCTAGAAGATACTTGAAGCTGTATAGACATTAAAAGGGAGGGTTAATTAAAATCAACCACAATAACGAAGAAGAAATACTATAATTTAAAAAAGTAGTACGTTTTTACAAAAGAAGCCAAGGGTTACAAAATGAACTTCAATCGTCCTACCCTTCCCGACCCCCCCCCCGCCCCCGCACTGTACAAATTGTATTACATACTCAGGGCTTGAGCAGATGACTGAGTCACTGAGAAATCCTTCACAGGGATTATTAAGGTCTTGACTCCAGGTGAACCTTTGCTTTTGTTATTGATGGGACGATGCTGCTGTGATAGATTGTTTTTCAATATCTAAAATAAGTTTTAAAGATATATTACATTTCTTCTGTTGATTTGCTTTAGTTTTATTGTAATGGACAGTAAATATGGACAGAATATTTTTTCAAAGCAAAAACATATTGTTTCGCCCAGTTTTTAAACAATATTTTAGTTCTGTATCTTTTGTTAGCGTATAGTAGGGACCCATAACTGTATGGATGGCTGAAAAAATAAAGACGCGCTTATCATCCTTGGATCCCCTCCTGCCTGCATTCCCGTCTCAGCGTTTACTAGTTTTTCCAAAACCGTTCTTCATCTTTAAGTTACAGCGCCCTCTCCTGAGTTATTAGCAACATTACATTTGGCCGTTTTTCCAATAGTGGCCGCTTTTCCTTCAGAAGGGTAAAAACTTTGCAAATGTACTAAAGAGATGAATTTTCTCCAAATTGAATCGCGCTCAAATTATTTGAAACTTATTACACAGATACTAGTACAGTGACATCACTACAAAGAAACAAGTGATCATGAGTTTGAAGATATTACAAAGATACAAGCAAACTTTAATGTAAAAGATATTCAGTTTTGAGTATATGTAGCAAAAAGGCATGAAAGAAAAGTCAGCAAAATGTTTTAAAAATGAGTGATTAACACTCTAAAATGAGAAATGTGCATTTGAAGTTCCTCTGCACAGCAAATCTTTTAAAATGAATGTTAGAGGAGCATTTTTAAAAAAAATTGCTTTGTACATTCTTAGTATTGTTATTTATTCGACCCAGATTTTTCTATAGCTACAGAACCCTGGAGGTGTGATTAAGTTGTTTTATGACTCCCTTGACTAAATTGTATGCTCCATGAAGACAGAGACCCCTTTATATTTCCATATCTAAAAATACTTAAAACCATAAATTCACACCGATACCACTCATTCACATCCAACACTGTAGGGTTCATTCTAGCTTCCCCCTTTGCATACTTGTAACTCATTTCTCTGACAGCAAGTGACCTACATCTCATTATGCCCAACATATTTGTTTATTTTCTCAGTCCCTTTCTATGTCACCAATCTCCCAACCCATTACGCAGCTGCTCTGCTCAGCCAGCTACCTTCTTTCTTGACCCATGCTGGGTGGCTTTCCTCAAACCTGCCTAATGGCTTTTAACAGGTGATTCAGAAAGGAAGGAAGGAAGGAAGGAAGGAAGGGAGGGATGGAGGGAGGGAGGGAAGGAGGTGGAGGCTTTACACAAGAAAATAAAAGTATAGAATATAGAATAATTTCCATGATTACTGATTCAACAGATATGCATTTTTTTTGCATTTTAAATCTTTCAATATTGGGAGAGAGGGAGGGAGGGAGGGAGGGAGGGAAGGGGGTGGAGGCTTTACACAAGAAAATAAAAGTATAGAATATAGAATAATTTCCATGATTATTGATTCAATAGATATGCATTTTTTTTTGCATTTTAAATCTTTCAATCTTCAGAATTTACATAAAATTTACAAACTGAAGATGGTTTTAACACAGCAAAGACGGTTTTAACACAGTCTTTTACATAACTATTTTCAAAATGATGCCCTATGTGGTTTTGAAGCCAGTTAGAATTTGACACAACTGTTTTGAAATGGGAAGTCTTTACATGATTTAGTAATAGTGACAATTAAGTGCCATTTTTTATGTTGGAGAGTTGTCTGAATTTTCTTTTTGGGGTCTGAGGGTAGTGGATAGGCTGTGCAAGAGACAGAATTTACCTTCTTATCTGGAATTGTCTACTAAATGACTTGAGAAATCTGGAGAGAATATCCTCTTAGCTTAATGTGATAAATGAATCAAAACTTAAAATGATTATTGTCTCCTTAAAGACTACTAGGATATTCAAGTTCAAATTTATTGCTCGATAAAATTATCTTTCCAGTGATGGTGATGGCTTTACACTGAGCCAATCGAATTCTCTTTTATAACCCACTTTGCGATCCCTGATGTTTGACACAGCAATGACCAGGATTTAGAAATAGGACCAGGTTCTGTGGACAGGCTGAGACTTTGGTCTTATTGGCACCACACAATAACTAAGTGGTCCAGTAGATGAAAAGAGTGAACTTGTTTACCAGCTAAAACTATGAAAATTTAGAATGATTATTTAAGCAGAGTTCCCGCTAACGACAAGGTGTTCAAAGTAGGTGCTGAAGGAGGTCTTTGAACACTGAAATAGATGAAATTGATAAAATTCAAAGGTTGTTAAAGTGGAAGATGGTAGTCCTTGAGAAGACTAAAAGTTGGGGAAGACAGAAGCAAGCTGAAGTGGTCTGGACCCTAGACTTCTGTCCTGACCACAGAAAGGAATGGGTCAAGGAAGTGTGACTTTGGAGTTTCTAACTCTTGGCCTCTGGAGGAACCACTGGTCTTTGGGACCTCTAATTACGAGAGAGAGAGAGAGAGAGAGAGAGAGAGAGAGAGAGAGAGAGAGATTTAAGTCTGGGATGACTATTTCAAACAGCCTCTCTTCAAGTAGAAAGTGCCACAGTAGGGGTTAGAAGGCATTTTAAAGGATAGATAGAAAATTTGATGATATTCGAAGGCCTTTCTAAAGGAAGAGGATAATTCTTTTATTTTTAATTAATTAATTATTTTTAGGCAAGGCAACCCTTGGTTGACCTCACAGATTGCAAGGATCTTGTCAGCTTGCAAGGGTCTTGTCAGTTTACAATCTCTTGGTTTGTGTTTTTTTAAAAAATATTTTACACCTACAGCACCTGGTCTTCCTAGGTGGTCTCCCATCCAAGTACTAACCAGGCTCGCTTCGCAGATCAGACAGGATTAGGCTTGTTCAGGGTAGCATGGCGGTTAGAAGAAGAGGATAATTCTTAACAAGACTGGAAATTGTAGGTGATATAAGAAAATAAACTGGTTTCGAGATGATTTTACTAACCAGGCAGTTCTTAGTTTACAAACTCTATCTGAAATATATAAAATAGTGTGGGGGGAGGTAATTTCAGGGTCTGAATTCCTGGATTTTGTTGGAATAACGTCTTTGTTTAGCCATTCAGAATATGTGGGGACAGCTTTACTTATGGGTACAGACTTGTATCTCCTGCAGGTAATAGGGATACAAGGATGACACATCTCCCAGTTGACACAGCTGAAGGATTAGGACCCTAATATTTTCTCTTAAATTCAACGTGCCTTCCTTAATCCCATGGTATGCAGTAGGTTCTGTCTTACCTGGGCAGTAGACCCCAAACCTTGTAACTGCACCCATCTCGAGAGGGTGGGCCTGAGATTTTTCTGAGGGGTGCTCCTGGCTGATGCGCCCTGTGATTTACCAGAGGCAGATTGTACTAAACTATAGAGCAAAGCAGGTCCCCTTTTTACCACTGCCTACCTGGATAGACGTCGATGTTTTCTGTGAAAGATCCTTGAGTTTCTCCGTTCTGGTTTCATTTTTCTCGGATTAATTGAGATATAATCGACATATAACACCGTTACTTTTGGGTGTCCCCCCCCTTTACAATTAATTGTTTTCTGATTTAATCTATTTCTTAGAGCAGAATTCCCATCGCAGGTGTGCAACCACCCAACTCTCTCATTTTTGTGAATAAAAAACAGGCCCAGAGATGAGTAGTGTCTGTGGAGTCACAGGAAAAAGGTATCTGTGTGAGATAAAGATCTGCCAGGCAAAGCCCGACCTGGAGCAATTTCCTGGCAGCGAGAACCACCTCCGGGGCAGTGAGCCAAGGCTCCAAGCTAGAAGGGAAGGGGGCTTGAAGTGAAGTAACCTGAGCTCAAACGGCCCCTGACAGCTGACGCCGAAACCCACGGCTTGTGGGAGCTAGCTCCGCTATCCGCACCCCCTGACAGCGGGGACCGAGCAGCATTCTCGGCCCACGGCCCACAGCCCTTCCCGAGACCCACCCGCAGCCCTTGCACTTCCTGCCCGCCCTCGGCCGCGCCAGGCCCGTCCCTCCCGCTTCTGGCGCAGGCCGGCGCGGGGCGAGCTCCTCCCCGAGCAGCAGCGGGCGCGGCCCCTCCCAGCGCGCCGAGCCGGGCTTGGGTGGGGTCTCGACTCTGCCTCCAGTGCACCCCGATCCCCTTCCAGCCAGGCCCGCGGCCGACGCGCGGCCCCCGGTGCTTGCGCTCAGCTGGGCCGCCCCGCGCCGCCGGGACCATGCTGCGCTGGCTGCGGGGCTTCGTGCTGCCCGCGGCGGCCTGCGAGAGCGCGGAGCAGCCGACGCGCTACGAGACCCTCTTCCAGCAGCTGGACCGCAACCGCGACGGCGTGGTGGACATCCACGAGCTGCAGGAGGGGCTCAGGAACCTGGGCATCCCCCTGGGCCAGGACGCCGAGGAGGTGGGTCGCTGCTGGGCGCGGCCAGCACGCTGGGCGGCGGCCCGCGCGCCGCCAGGAGGAAGGAGGAACTGGGGCTCCCAGCCCGCGAATGCGCTCAGACGCTGCGGGATGGGGCGCGCGGCCAGGTGTCCCCGTACCAAAGGCGCGTCAGGATACGAAAGGCTACGGGTGTTTTTTCAGATGAAATTAGGGCAGCGAGCACTCTGGCCCATTGCACCACGATGCTTTTGGTCTGAACGCATCCCAGGTCCTTGACCCGCCTTTTTGCGCCTTTGCAAACATTTAATCAAACTTGAACGTTTTAGCTCTCGGATTTCAGTGGGCCCCAACCTCTGGCTCACACTTTGTATCCCTTCGAAGCTGCTTGGTTACACCAGCTAGTTTTGTCTGTTTCAGATCTGTTTGAAAATCAATCTTACTTTTCTCTCAACTTCCTGTTGGGAGGAGACATGCCATCGATTAAGACAATCTCTATGCCCAAAGTACATAAATTGAACTCAAGGGTTGGCCTGTCGCTGAGCAATTTCAGCTTCTCTGAATCATTTCTTTGTGATCCTGAAGTTCAGCCTTTTTAGCGGGGCCGAGGAACTTGGAACCTTTCCAACCCCACTGAAACGTAAGAGGACACTTCAGCATTCCCTATGCCAACAGGGAGAGTGATTCAGCCACAAGTGCCAACAACTGTTTTACAGTGAAGTATTTTAAGCTACCCATCCAGTGTCTTTATTAGTGACCGGCCTCTTCAGTTTACTATTTCTTCTTGAGTCAGATTTAGTAAGTTACAGTTTTTAGGAAACTGCCCATTTTGTCCGAGGTTCATAATATTCACTGATGATTTAAAAAAGTTCTGATCGTATCTGTAGTTATGTTCTCTCTCATTCCTGATAGCTGTCTTCACCCCTCCCCCCAACCCTTGTTGAATCTTGCCAAAGTTTTTTTTTCCTATTTATACTTTGAAAGAAGCCATTTTTGGTCTTTTTTGTTGATTGTCTTTTTTCTTAATTTCTGTTTATTTCCTTCTACTTTCTTTGGGTTTATTCATTTGCTTTTTCTAATTTCTTCAGTGGAATGCTTGATTCATTAATTTTGAGCTACAATATCCCTTTAATCACTTCTTTAGTTACATCCCACAAGTTTGTACTATTATTTAGTTCCAAGTATTTTCTAGTTTCCAATACGACTTCATCTTTGACCCATGAATTATTTAAATGTGTGCTTTAAATTTCCAAATATTTGCTTTTTTTTTTGGTTGGTTCTTTGAAAATATGAATAAAATAACCTCTGGCAAGATTAAGGAAAAGAGAGAATGCAAAATTAGGAAAAATAATGTCTTTAGTTTTTAAAAATTTATATAAGAACAAATGATAAAGTAAGTTGTGTAAAACTGTGTTTGCAAACACATAGAACAGGATGGCATATGTTTATCACTATAATATATGTATTTTATACAAATACATAAAATATACCTTATACATACATATACACATATATAATGTGACTCCCTGTGCTCATTCCAGATGTTATTAATTATTCCCAGCACTACTTTTTGACAGGTACATTCTTCAATAAAAGGTTAATATGGTTATTTCTGGGTGGTAGGAATAACTTTTCCACTTTTTTCTTTACAATTTTATATTATTTCAGGTTTTTAAAAAAATAATGATACATTACATTTTTATTATTAGAGAAAAAAAGTCTTTTTTTTTTAAATAATCTCACCTCTTCTGGGATGAGCCTTTCTGGACTCCCCTTTACAGAAGAGCTGATCACACCCTACCTATGTGTAGGTTTTTTGTCTCACATGTCACAGCCGTTATAATTTTCAGGTGGTATTATTTTTATTTGTTAACTGTGCCCTCCACCACGACCAAGCATCTTGAGGATGAGGATCATGTCTTATTCATCTAAGCAAAGAGAAGAGAGAAAATTCCTGAGGAATGTAAGAATATGGAATGACAGTAGAATGTAGTCCGAGGAACAAGGTTATAGAGGTCATTACTAACTTTCCCTTAACTAGTAGTCTTATCAGCTTTTTAGAGGATTTTCTGTCTCTTCCTTCTCTTCCTTCTTCCCCTCCTTTTCCTTGGTTGTTTTCATCAAGGCCACTTTAGGACAGTCTAAAGGACAGTCCCAGTGTTTGGGTGTCATTGGAGGTGCTCTGAGGAAAAAAAAATTCATGACAGTAAAGAGTAGAGGAAATAATGTGAATTTTAATTTACTGAACTAGAAATCATGAAAGTAAACTGATGGTGAAGAGTCGGCGGTTTTAGCTGGAAGTATGCTTATTTTGTTTCAGTTTGGGCTTGGAAGACTTTGGAATAGTTGTAGCCCCCTCCCTCAAATCTGAATTTAGAATTAAGGCAATAAAATAAAAACAGAGGATCTTGCCCAATAGGGTTTTACAAATATTTTTTCTTCCTTCTCGAATCTCAGCATCATTTAATGGCAACTCTTTTATTAATACACAGAGGAGAAAGGACATTTTGTAGAGTGTGAAGCTATTTCTGCACCCAAGTTCAGGGCTGGCTGATTAACAAATGTGTTCAATTAGCCTGGGAAATTATAAGCAATTTTAAAACTAAGTTGTTTGCCCTATTTTCCCAGGCACAAACTCTTGCTGGAACTTTCGTAGGGGAGACTTGGAATCGTAAGGGGCATTGCATTCTTGCAGCTGAGAGGGTTACTGAGAGCAAGAAGGGAAGCAGCTCAGAGAGCTCAGAGTTCCATACTCAGTGCAAACTGACCATGTAACCTTGGTCAAGTCATTTTACCCCTTGCTTTACTTTCCTTATTTTTGAAATGCACACATCTACCCTGCCTCCTGGAGAGAGCTTTAGATCCCATATGACTGGATACGAAAGATCATGTGAAATAACCCCTTTAAAATGTGATGCCACACGTACTACATGGCCAGCTCCTTGAGGGCCTTCTGCCCCCATGGGTATCAGGCATATGCTGAATGATTCGGCAGTGTCAGAGGAGCAGTTAGACTGGGTGACCTGATTTAAGGGCTCTTCTAACTCATATTCTATGATTTTTTGATGCTCCGTCTTTAAATTTCATATTCACAACTACAGATGGAATAGGATCTCATACAAAAACAGTAGCTCAACACTGTTTATTACTTTGAATGGAATTTCTTTTTAGGGTTTCTCTCTGTGTAATAATTTCTCTGTTAAGAAGGAGGATTGTCTGTTAGAATTTCAGTTGTCAGAAACTTTATTACCTAAGGAAATACAATACAGAAGTCACAGAGGTACATTTCTAAGGCATCGTAGCAGGGAGATTATGGTATAAGGAAAACAGTGGAACTCTAGCCACATTTATGTCAAATGTTCTGAAATGTAACATATATCTTTTGTACTTTGTCCTGACGTATATTCCAAAATCTGATGTTATCCCTTCTTTGAGGCTCTTTATTTTTGAAAAATAGGAAAAAAAAAGGAAGAATTCCTTAGTAAGACATAAAATACTCTTTCCATTTTGGTGGCAGGCTACTCTTCAGTCTCCTTCCCAGACCCCTGACATCCTGTTCCCCCAACTGGGCCACAACTATGTACACTTATCTCTTTATTTTCTTCTCTATGCTTTTCATTAACCTCTCTCCCCCTTTTCTGCCTGGTAAGTTATTACCCATTGTTTAAGGCCTCAGTTCACATTTATAGTTTTACCCTAGCCCAGTCAGAATTCCTTCCTTGATCAGTATTCCAGTGAAGACGTTTAGAAATGAATACAGGACAGCATTCTGTAAGGGTGCTGCTTAACACCCCGAGTTCAAAAATCTTACCTTTTTAAGGGTCAGATAGAATCTACCAAGATATCTATATCTGAAAGATTTGTGGAAACCACAAAAAGATTTGTCGAGAAGGTTTGAAGCCTCACTCTGAAATGCTGACAATGGTATGTTCTACACTAATTGGTGGTGTGTGTATAGTGGTTATTATTATGGGTTATGGAATCACTGAGACCGGTTTTTGCCGTTTGCTACTCTTGTGACCTTGAGTAAGCTATTTAATGCCTGGAAACCTCAAACGTAGACTAGAAATGGTAAGAGCTACCCAGTAGGTTAGCACAAATATTAAAGTCATTCAGTTAATGTTTTCGAAGAGTGCCACACACACACTGTCCAATGAAGTGGAGGTATAGTGGTGAACAAGACAGACAAGGTCCTTTAACTGCGTTCTCAAAACCTTCCCTGTAGGAATTCTGTGTGTGTTGCATGGGTGGGTGAGGAATAGTTAATCAGCCAGTAATGAACAGAGAATTTCAAAAAATGGAAAGATCGAGTCAACACAAATAGCTGCCTTTTTATTAGATGAGACTGTCAACTATATTTTGCTCCCTCCTGTCAGTTCTGTGAAATACTGTCATTCTGTACCTTATTACCCTGGCCATGACCTCTGTCTCTTCTACGTGGTCCTGTGGACTCTTGTGTCCTGCCTGGGTGTCTGTCTTCTATGACTCTTTGTGACTACTTGCATTCTCTGCAGTGTACAGGGAAGGACCATTCCCTTTGGACTGTAAAATTCTCTTTTGTGGGAGAATTTGTTCTTGACTGGGCCACAGCACATCTTGTGAAACAGCATTAGACATTTGCTGCTGCTCAACATCTCTGGGGGAAGTGTTTATTGCGAAGCTTGCAGTGGGACTTATGACTAATCATGTACAAACTCTTCTTAAAGGCAAACCCATGGGCATTTCAAGGACATGTGATGGCCTTCTTTATGTTATCAATACTTGACACGATGAGTGAGTCGAGCAAGAACTAACACATAAGGGCTTAAATTTTCTTTATGAATTTTTAAAAAAGGATTTATTTTTTTGGAGCAGTTTTAGGTTCACAGCAAAATTAAGAGAAAGGGATAGAGATTTCCCATATCCTTCCTGTCCTGACACATGTGTAGCCTCCCCCATTATCAGCACTGGCTCCATATTGGCACTTTTGTTACAATTGACGAACCTGCATTGACACCTCGTTATCATTCAAAGTCCATAGTTTACTTTAGGGTTCACTCTTGGGGTTGTACATTCTGTAAGGTGGGGCTGATGTATGATGACATGTATCAGTCTTGTAGTATCATGCAGAGAAGTTTCACTGCCCTAAAAATCCTCTGTGCTCTGCCTATTCATCCTTCTACCGATTCCCCCAAATTCCTGGCAATCACTGATCTTTTTATTGTCTCCATAGTTCTGCCTTTTCCAGAATGTCATATAGGATCATGCAGTATGTAGCCTTTTCAGATTGGCTTTTTTCACTTAATAATATGCATTTACAGATTCTCTGTGTCTTTTAATGGCTTGATAGCTAATTTCTTTTTAGTGCTCAGTGATATTCCATTTTCTGGATTTACCACAGTTTATTTGTCCATTCACCTGCTGAAAGTCATCTGTGTGCTTCCAGGTTTTGGCAGTTATGAGTAAAGCTGCTGTAAACATTCGCGTGCAGGGTTTATGGACATAAGTTACATAAGTTTTTAACTCCTTTGGGTACATACCAAGGAGCGTGATTGCTGGATCATATGGTAAGAATGTGTTTAGTTTGGTAAGAAACTGCCAAACTGTCCTCCAAAGTGATTGTACCACTTTTCATTCCCACCAGCCATCAATGGGAGTTCTCGTTGCTTTACGTGAATTTCAATAGTCAACCTTTTAAAGAGTGCTCCATGTTTAGGAAAATCAATTACATAAAAGTGGTGTTTTTACTGCGAAACTGCACCTTCACAGTTCCAGTGGAGCAGGATGAGGCCCCTTCCTGTAGGTGTTAGGGGGCCAGAGCCCTCTGTGGCCCCAGAGAGTGGGGATAACAAGCCACCAACATTGTTTACGAGTTTCTCCTGACTTCTTTCTGGGACTTTTGTGTTGACTTCTGCCCTCTTTGAGATTATCCTCCCAAGTGTGCTGCCAACACCTGTAGGGACAGAGCTGGGGCCCTGGTTTTTCGAGCAGCCACTGCGATGCTGAGCGAAGATAAGGAACAGGGGGTGGGGGTGGGGCGTTGGGGCTCAGGGGAGAATCACAGAGGGAAAGGCCCAAGGGACAGATTTCCATTAGGTGCCCACTTCCCAGTCTTCACTACAACTCTTAAGTGCCCCAACCTTAGAAGAAGAATTCCTTGAAAGGTGTGACCAAACAACTTAAAAAAATGTTGGATCTCACCACCAGTCATTGTGGCCCCACTATCCCAACACTCCCCTACCCACTTTTTTCTAAAAAAGAAGCTCTTCTTTTAGAGACAGTCGTGTGCAGTGAGTGGCCCTTCTGGAAGTTTTAGGAGGAACCAGGGCTCTGCCCGGCTGATCTGGGAGCGCAGCTGGAACGCCACGGCCACGCACTCCAGGGCCGGGCCCCCAGTGTGGCCTCCACTGAGGCTCCAGGGGCCCCTCGCGCCTCCGCCCTGGAGCCGTTGCGATGCGCCATCCCCTTCCTGCGCTTTACCTGGCAGAGAGCCTTTGTCTTTCATGCCTCAGAGGACGCTGCTCTCTTAGATTTCTGCCAGCTGGACGTGTGGTGGGCAGAGTGTCCCTTCCTCCCTCACTTCCACGTCTGGGAAACTCACGGGCCGCAGTGTGGACCACACCTGCCGCCAGGGACATCCTGGATGGACGCCTTCTACGAAGAGCTCATTCGGTACCTGGACCGTAACAAAGATGGGATTCTGGACATTCTTGAGATTCAGGAAGGCCTGGAGTCTCTAGCGGGCATTTCCTTACGGGACGAAACGAAGGTGGGCCTCAGTGGGGCCAGTCAGAGAGATGCTGGGGCCGGGAGTCCTGGGGGCCTTGGGCAGAGAGGGGTACGCCAGATTGACACCTGGGCCAGGGGCCTCACCACAGTCTTCAGGTCCATTACCCACGTTCCTGTGTTAAGAATAACTCCACACAACTAATACTCTCCCCCAATTTTTCTGTTTTCCCCCTGATAATAAGACTTACAAATTCAAATTGCTCTCAAGATGCTGGCTGCAGCCTTGTTTTGGGGGTCATCTTGTTTAATGTGCTCACCTGTTATGAGTAGCCTAGATGAGTATCTAGGCCAAAGATGCTCTCTCTCCACTTCGGGGATGTCTTTTAACTTGTAATGTCCCAAATCATTGTTGTTCACTAATATTTCTATTGACCACAATATAAATTTCTTAGATGAAACTCGGTACATAAATGGCACCCCGGAATGCTGTGACGTTTTCTCTTGGATTATGCAAATCTGAGTGTACATGCTGAAAAATCAAGAAATAATTTCTAGATGAAAATTATCTCCAATTTAATTTGTAATAGGGGTTGAATAGCAGTAATTATTTTCAGTGATAAGACAGATATATTTGCTTTTGAAACTAAGTAAGAATCGATGGTATTTGAATGAAAGCTATTTAGGTTGCAGAAAAGAGAATCCTACTCACACTCGTTTTACAGAAAAGGCTAGAATTCTTTGTAGATGACTTTTATTAGATTAACGAAGCATCACTCCATTCTTGGTTTGCTAGGAGTTTTTAACCATGAAGGATGTTGAATCCATCAAATGTTTTTCTGTATTTATTTAGATGATCATATGACTTTTTTCTCTTAATGTGGTAAATAACAAGATTTTTAAAAAATGTTAACCTAACCTGGCATAACTGGATTAATATATATACATATATATGCATACATGCATTCCATTTTATATGCTGCTATTCATTTTATATATTGTTTATCATATATATTATTTTATATTTAGTGTTATCCGTTTTATATGCACTATTATCTATTTTATATATTGTTAGATTCGATCTGATTTGCTAACATTTTATTTAGGATATTTGCATCTATTTCACAAATGACATTACTTATAATTTTCTTTCATGGGAATGTTTTTAAATTATGCACTATTATCTATTTTATATATTGTTAGATTTGATCTGATTTGCTAACATTTTATTTAGGATATGCATCTATTTCACAAATGACATTGCTTATAATTTTCTTTCATGGGAATGTTTTTAAATTACAGATTAAATTTCTTTAATTCTTATAGGACTACTCAGATATTCTATCGATGATTCCATTTTTGATAAATTCTCTTTTTCTAGGCATTTTGTCTCAATTTTCATACTTTTTGATATAAAGTTGTTCATAATATCCTTAATGTCTATAGTATCTAGTGATTTTCATTGTTACTTTCTGACACTGATTATTTGCTCATTTCAGGGGTTTATCATTTTTTCGTTTTTTTCCAAGGAGCCATCTTTTGATATGGTTGATCTTTTCAATGGTATATTGTTTTCTTTTTGATTACTTTTTACTCTTTATTTCTTTCCTTCAACTTAAAAAAAATTTTTCTAATTACTTAAGATTGAGATAAATCTTAATGATGCTTCATTGATTTCTTCTTTTCTAATTATGCATTTGAAACCATCAATTTCCTTGTAAGCTTTTGTTGCATCTCACGAGTTTCAGGCCTTTTTCTCTCTGAATCCAGAGCTTAGAGGTCTGATTTTTGTATATCCTGCCACCGTGAGGCATTATTTTCCCAGAAGAGCAGGACTGTCAAACCAATAGAATTTGTAAGCTTCGAGTGGGTGATTGCAAGTGTCTTAACAGGCAGAAGGTTTATATTTTGGGTGGCAGCGGGAGAGGGCTTACATGGAATAACAAATACCATCATTTTTATTTCTTCCTCAAAGGCAATAGTTGAGATAGACAGTTTGATATGACAGCTTTTTAATAAGCATCATCTTTGGGGAAAGATTATTTAATTTTGGAAGTCGAAGGGCAGATACTATTTTAGATATTTAAATCCCATGCTAGGTCAAGTGTTTTTCTTCTATTTGGTATTAATAAAATACATGTCTTATGAGAAAACAGCCCATCTATTTGAAGTATATGTACAAATAATTTAGTATTTTAGCTCATATTAAAATCTCTCTTTTTTTTTTTCATAGAAAATTTTTACTACTGGTGATATCAACAAAGATGGGAAGCTGGATTTTGAAGAATTTATGAAGTACCTCAAAGATCATGAGATAAAAATGAAATTGGCATTTAAGAGTTTGGACAAAAATAATGATGGTGTGTCTTTATTTTCTATTTGTCACCAGCTATGAAGAAACACTTCTCATACTTCCAAGAGTCTAAAACAATGTTCATTTAGTCTCTTTTTGTAGATGATAATTCTTACAAGTGTTAATATGTGTTTTTCTTAGTAATGTGATTTTATATAGAATTCATGTTTTTAGTGAAGAAAACATAGATAGCTGTGTCCATTAAATAAAAAAAACTGTGAGTTTTAGGACTGTTTGTAAAATGTTAACTATGGAACACTCTGCTGATTCAACTTAAAGGTCTGGGTTAAATATAATAGTTATGTTTCCTTGCTCTCTAGATAAGAGGGATTTATTTTTTTTCATTTATAGGCGTAAATATTATATATTCTAATATTTAAAGAACTTTCAGATTATCTTCTATTTGATAGTTTTTTTGAAAGAATTTAGAGCAGACACTCTTAGATCCTGAAAATTAGAAAAAAAATAGCATATAGACATTTAAATAAATATCTTCTGTCTGGAATTATGGTTTTTCTATTTAGATTAATTGCTTGGAGTTAGAGTCCCAGTTGTGTAGAGCAAAAAGCAAGGGCCACAGCAAGAGAAAGAGAAGACTCATGGAACTCTTATTACCAGAAGCCACTCTTTGATAGGAAGAAGGAATTTATTTTAAAAAATTAGAATGCAGCTTCCAACGCCTCCCTATATATGAGTAATCAGGACCATTTTATTCATAGACTTATTGTTCAAAAAGAAGTGAAACCAATAGATTGAGAGAAAATATGGTTCAAATCAGGGCTTGGTAAACTTTTTTGATAAAAGGACAGATAGTAAATATTGTAGCTTTGTGGGCCATGCGATCTCAATTGCAGCTCCTCATCTTTGCTGTAACAGCACAGAAACATCTATAGACAGTATAATGAATGAGCATGGCTGTGTTTCAGTAAGACTTTATTTACAAAAGCAAGCAACGGGCCTTCTTTGGTCAGTGTGTTATAGTATACTGGCCCCTAGTTTATACGGAACATTAAGTTCAGTTAGATTCAAGGCAGGTCCCTTCAAACAAACAAACAAACAAACAACTAAAGCCTTTGAATGGTTTTGAAGACTATACGATTCTGTGACTGTCAGCCAGGAACAGCTGACTTTGTGGTGGAAAATAGTGCAGTTATAAAGGAGAATATGCAGAGCCGCATTTAAGGAATTTCTTTGCTAGCAGATGGATCTCTCTGACGGTCCTTAACTTGCGCAGATTCTCATGCTGCTCCTTTGCTCTCCTCAGGAGAATTCTCTCCAAACCCTATCATTTCTTCAAAGTCCTTCCCTTAAATGAAGCCTTCCTTTCACTACTAACAGTAGTTTTTTCCTCTTTTCCTAGAGAACATTGCTATTAATACTGGTTCAGCATCAAATCCTCTCCTACTCTGTTGTTTCGTCCTGTTGCATGCTACTAGTCTTAGAATCCTCACGAGTTCATGAGCTGCTTGTGGGAAATACAGTATTACATTTATTGCTTATATTTTTCTTTTTGTCTTCTGATTCTCCTCCTTCTGTGTACAAACATGCTCTAATTTCTCTAGTAATGATAATTTTCCCCTTCCTGTCATCCTGCTATTTCTGCTCTCTTTATTTTTATTGCCAGATTTCTCAAAAAAAAAATAGTCCAAGTTCATTTAGTCATTTTTTACTTCCTTTTAACCCAATGTGATCTATTTTTATGCATAATAAATGCCTAGTCCTTTATTAAAATGTAGATACGCATACTTGTAAAATACATAGATCCTAGCTTAATTGAATTTACCTCAAAATCAGGGTATCTTGATTTGGATCTCAGTTTTGTTGCTTATTAATGTTGTTTCTTGGTAAACCCGCTTAAAGTCTTCTCCTTTAGATGGAATATCATTATTTAACTACAAACAGGTTGTGATTTCTGAATGAAAATCTGTGTGTGTACTTGTTTAATGTATTTGTTAAATTTTGTGTTGGTGTTGCACTATGTATTTAAGCAAACCTAATACCTAAATTCGTAATTTTACCTTAATCAGTTCAAAGCTTTCCCTTATAAAATGGGGCATTTGAAATTCATGATTTCTAAGGTTCTTACTGGTTCTGAGTCTGAGTTTGTGCTCTTTTTATTTTTAAAGGAAAAATTGAGGCTTCTGAAATTGTCCAGTCTCTCCAGATACTAGGTTTGACTATTTCTGAACAACAAGCAGAGTTGATTCTTCGAAGGTAAAGTCTTCAGCTGATTGACAGTTGGTTTTTTTTGACTTTCATTTTCATAGACTGCATGAGAGCGCTGTGTTTGCAAGTGTGGCTTAAAGCGACTCCCTGCGCCTCGCCATTCCTCACTGTGTGTGTGCAATCTTTCTTCCCTTTCCCTCCCTTTTCATTCTGCATACACACATCCATCCAAAGTGCAGGAGTGAGAAACAGAAGTGCACCCACGACTCTTTCTTGCAAGGCCTCAGGGGGCCTTGGAATGGCAGTGGAGCGTTATATCCACAGAGAAGGCTTAAGAGTTTCAGTGCTGCCATCTTTCCCATTGGGTGTCGAATGGGACAGTGGAACTCATTGTTTCAAGATAAGGAGTCTGGTGGATTCCTTATATTATTTAACTTGTATGTGGCTGGATGAGAGGGAAATTTCAAAGCTCCCTCTGCTGACTGACAGAGAAACGTCACGGATTTAAAACTCCAGAAAACAGAGGTGCCAATTTGAACAGTTCAGCTATTTCATAGATCAGACCTTTACAGAGTTAATGTTTTATTCATAGGATAGAGCAATAATCTCTGAAGTCTTATGTGTCCTTGTAGACTCTTTTGTTATAGACACGTCATAGGGACTATTTTTAAGATGATAACAGAAAACAGAAAAGGGCGGTTACCTTACATTAATATTCTTGTGACTGTTTTCAGTCTTCAACATTATCTAAAAAGTTTCTTCTAAATGGCTTTGTTGTTGAATTTATCTCCTTCTAAATGCACCAGGAGCATTTTCCTCCTTTCTGTCTGTTCACAATTTATAAGCAGCTGCTCTCTGTAGGGAGGCCCCGCGTCTCAGAGCTCAGATGGTGTCACTCGTGTTAGCATCGGGAGAGAAGGGCTTTCCTGAGGAAGTGAAAAGCTGGAACACCAGAAGGAGATAAACGGCATTCTGACAGTGGGATGCGGACTGTGTCATATTCTACTTCTAAAGTCACATTCTTCAAGGAAAGTGAAGGCTTTTTGTTTTGGGGGTTTTTATTTCGTTTGTTTTTCTTTGTTTTTGTTTTGGTTCTTAGGCCGGAAGTCCTATTTCTATATTCCTTTTGATAGCTTTCAGGATAATGCAGATTCTAAGCCCAAGCTCTAGAATAGACCATGGGTAATGACAACTTTATCGATATGTAATTCCCATACCATAAAATTCACTTTTTAAAAGTATGCAATTCAGTGATTTTTAGTCTGTTCATAGAGTTGTGCCACCATCACCACTGTCTAATTTTGAACATTTTCATTGTCCCAAAAAGTGACCCTGGACCCATCAGCAGTCATTCCGGACTCAGCCCCCAAATGCCCATGGCAACCACTGATTTACTTTCTGTCTCTATGGATTTGTCTATTCTGGACATTTCATATAAATGATTTCATATACTTTGTGACCTTTTGTGTCTGGCTTTTTTTCACTTAGCTGTGGTGGCTCAATTAATATCAGATAAGATTATAAAGTAAAAACATGAATTTTTGTCAGAAGACAGAGATTGTCAGATGAAAGAAAAAGTAAAATGAAATTCTATTAACTAAAAATAAAGCTGGGGTAGCTAAATTAATATCAGATAAGATTATAAGGTAAAAATTATAATTTCACATGAATGAAAATAGAGTCATTGCATCTTAAAATTTGCCACAAAGACATAAAATTCTTAAGCTAGCTGATAAAATTAGCTAGGGATAAATTGAGAAATCTGTCATAGTTCTGAGAGATTTTAACATACTTTTTCTGTATTTGATAGGTCCAGCAGAGAAAAAATTTGGTCAAGACAGAAATGATTTAAATAAATGAGAAGCTTGATTTAATGGGCACATGATAGAACCTTGCACTAAAAAATTAGAAAAAAATATTTTTTTCCTTAGGTGCATATGGAACATGTATAAAAATAGATTTTACAGTAGGCCATAAATCCAGGCTCAACACATTTTAAAAAATTGGTATCACAAAGACCACTTTCTTTGATCACTCTGCGTTAATTTAGAAGTCAATAACAGAAATAAGTTGTAAAAATTTCAGTGGTTTTTGAAATGATATACACTTCTCAAAACTTATGGGTCAAAGAAGAAATTATACATGGACATCGAAAAGTACTTTGACTGAAAAAATGAAAGCATCACATATAAAAGGGTAAAGGGTGTCAATATATACGGTGACAGAAGGAAACTCATCTTTGGATGGTGAACGTACAATGCAATATATAGATGATGTGTTATAGAATTATATACTTGAAATCTATACAATTTTATTAACCAATACACCCCAATAAATTTAATTAAGAAAACTTGTGAGATATAGCTAAGATGGTATTTAGGGAGAATTATATAACCTTAAAGGTTGTATTGGAAAAGAATTAGAGTAGAAAATTAATGTGCTAAGTTAAGGGGAGAAACCTCATAAAAGGTAGAAAGAAGGAGATAATAAAGACAGCAGTGGAAATAAAAAGCAAAGACAGTAATAGGATTAACAGAGACAAATGTTGGAAAAGACAAACTTCTGGAGAGATTGATGAAAAAAGAGAAACGAGTTGTAAATAAATTATGTCTGATCATACGTAGACACACAGACATTTTTAAAAGATAATAAAATGTTATGAATAATTTTGTGCCAATGCATTTGAAAACATATGAAATAGAAGAATTTCTAGAAAAATATAATTTGCCAAAACTAAATCAAGAAGAAATAGGCAATAGTACTTAAATAAAGAAAACTTTGACCGCAGATGGTTCTTACAAACTGTCAACGATCAGATCTACAGATATTTGTAGAATATATAGAAGTACACTGTCCAGTCCATTCTGTGAGGCCATGATAACCATAATAGTAAAGGTACATAGTTAACGAAAGAGGGAAATTGCAGGCTAATCTCATTTATGACATAAATGTAAATATTTTAAAGAAAATATTAGCAACCTGAATTAGCTGTAAAGAAACATAATACATCACAATCAATACTTTTCTAAGAGCCACTTCAAAAATTTCATTAGCAGGCGTTAAAGAAGATTCAGTATGGAAAAGATGTACCTTCTCTCCAAAGTGATAATGGTTCAGCGCCATTTAAAAAACATGTCAAAGTCTATGGCTACGCCACCCTGAACAAGCCTGATCCTGTCTGATCTTGGAAGCTAAGCGGGGTCTGTCCTGGTTAGTACTTGGATGGGAGACCACCTAGGAAGACCAGGTGCTGTTGGTGTAAAAAAAAAAAAAGGATTGTAAGCTGAAAAGGTCCTTGCAATCTGTGAGGTCAACCAAGGGTTGCCTTGCCTAAAAATAAATAAATAAATAAATAAATAAATAAATAAATAAAATAGAGGGGGAAAAAAAAAAAACGTGTTAAGCTGTCTCAAACTTAGATTGATGAGCAAAGGCCCGAGAATAACCAAGACAGTCTTGAATGGCTGTCAGGATCTGGGGGCCTGCCCTATCGTGTATCAAGGGTAGTTATTAAGCTGTAATTATGACAGTGGTAATGCTGTACCAATTGACAAATGGAACATAATATCCCAGAGACAGAACCATCCACACTTGGGTTTTTTGACAAGAGAGAAGTAGCTTTACAAATCACTGGGAAAAGGAGAGACTGTTTAATAAATGATGCTGGTGCCCATGGTTATCTATGCAGACAAAAATGAGATTGGATACTTATGCTATACACAAAAATTCACCTAAATGTGAAAGTTAAACTATAATACTTTTAGGAGGAAAAAAAGGAAGTGTCTTTATGTCAATATAAGGAAGAATTTTTTTTAAAAGTCCACAAAAGAGAGTGACCATAATGAAAAGATTGATAAATTCAGCTACATTAAAACTAACAGCATCTATTCATGGACACTGTAAACAAAATGAAAAGACAAGGAGAAGGTATTTGCTAATTTGTAACTTGAAGGATTAGAATCAAGTATGTAAAGAACTATACATATATAAGAAAAAGACATACAATCCATTAAAAAAATGGGCAAAAGTCATGAACAGGCATTTCGCACAGAAGGAAAAATGGGTAACAAATGAATAATGGTAAGAGATGCTCAAGCTCATTAATAATCTGAAAAAAAAATACAATATAAACCCACAATGAGGCCATCTTATTTAAGAAGTTTGTCGGTACTAAGTGTTGTGTGTATTTAAGGTACAGAATTTAGTATTCATTTATTTATTCAATAAATATTTATTCTGTTCAGGCACTGTTCTAGGTAATATCAGTGAACAAAATTTACAAAAAACCTTGCCGTCTTTGTTCATAACTTTTCACACAAATTATAGAATAAAGTCTGGAGGCAACACCAAAACTTTTTTTTCAGAGACATTTATTAATTGAAGAAATGAGTACCTTCTTTAATGCCAGCCACTTTAGGTGCTGGGCATATAGTAAAAATCCTGGTACAATTCAGAGTTACTCTTAGGAAGAAGCAGGTACAAATGGCATTAGTGCCAAGAAGCTTATAAAACAAAAAAGTTAGATGAAAAATATCTAAGGCCATAATATATTAATTTTAAAAGTTGAAGATGAGGTGCCAGGATTTCTTAACTCAACAGAACCAATCACCAAGTTTGATTTTTTTTTTTTATCATCACTACTTATTTTATTAGCTTAGAGAAATTTGGAGAAGGAAATTAATAGCATATTTTGAGTATATTGCAAAATCACATTCAGATGTTACAACAGAACGTTTTCTTGCACTGACTCAGTGCAAGAAAAAACGGATCATGAACCATTCATTACTACCTTTTAATATTTTATCTTCCAGGTTTTGTGTTTGATAGCTCATTGACTTAAAATTTGACAGCGTGCCAAAAGTAGTCTTAGTGAGATCTCTCTAATTTTGGGATCCATTTTATCTAAATGATTGAAACCGTCTAACAGGCCATGAAATGCTTGCAGCCATTTCCAACCATCTATTATTGTGAGTTGGAATTTTAACTTGATAAGAATATTAAGTTAGAAAAGAAATTGTCATTCTGCAAAATAGCCAGTAATGTTAGTTTTATTTGTAAATTTTGTTTCGTTCCTTAATTAGCTTTTTTTTTTCTTCTTAGCATTGATGCCGATGGGACTATGACTGTGGACTGGAATGAATGGAGGGACTACTTCTTATTTAATCCCGTTACAGACATCGAAGAAATCATTCGTTTCTGGAAGCGTTCTACTGTAAGTATACTTTATGTATTAATTTATACACATTTGGAGCTGTAAGGCAGAGGTATAGTTGTCACCTGAGAACATTCTGTAACATTTATAGCTCAGGGTGCCCAACCAAAGGATAAGCTGCCCAGCTTTTATTGGCATTTAATTATTCTGCCATGGGGAGTATAAAAGTCATAGGCTTTTACATTTTACAGATACTATATTGCCCAAATAATTAGCACCTCATGGTTGCTGAGCATCTATGTCCTTGCCCATTGATGATGGCCGAAGATCCCTTCTGAAACCTTCGCTTCTTTAGTCAACTGCCTGGGTTTATCTCTGGCATAGGCACTTAATAATCATTGAAGGTTAAAAAAAATCTTTTTGGTTTATCCACTAAGCATTTCACACCTGTCTGTCTTTATTCCGCAAAACTTGCGAATTTTAATTAATTAAATTTTATTAACATTCTGCTAACATAGTGGTGTAAACAGAGTTCAAATTATTGTGCAGTCCACTCCTGAAACCAAGAAGAATTTTTTTTTTTTTTCCCATGGGCTTGACATCTATACTATTCATGGATTTCGGTAAATTTTGTATGCACTAAATGAAGTCTACAGTTCACGCTGCCACTGATAACTATGCCTACACTTACAGAGTGTTGTAGAAATATTGGTAATTAATGCCTTCCAACCACAAGTATAATATAATATGATATAAGTAGTTAGTTGCCAAGGTAAATTTTATACTTATGTGAAATCGTATTTACATGTTCATATTCTTACTGTATCTTTGGAGATATTTGATAACGGTATCCAATTTACTGACAGTAAAATGAAGAAAGAGAAGGTTATTACTGTCAATCTATGAACATCCAACCCCCTAGAGAATTGTTATAAAAATTTGTTTGAGCCGAACAGAAGATAGGACATGGAGCAAGATCTCAACAGAGGGAGATAAAATGCTTTGGGTGGTAACAGTTTGCAGTTTAGATTAGGGAGGGAACGTAAGGAAGATTACGTGGAGGTGGACGGAAGCAAGGATGGATGGGATTACGGGATTGGTAAATTTATGTGCTCTTTTGAGGGGCCTCAAAGGGGCCATTTCAAAGGTGTGTTAACCTGGGTGAACAGAAATAATGGACACTGCTCGCTTGAGGCAAAGGTAAGACTTTAGGTTAAAGGAATCGTATGCCTAGGGAGTGACAACCCACCATGACCTACCCAGTTAGGAATTTATGATCAGGTCAGCCTGTGAGGTTACTTTCCACATCTACACTACTATGGATCCGTACCCTTATACTCTTACCTATAAAATCTTTTGTACCAAAATTATTTAGAAACTAAAGCTGTAAAAATATTATCATTATAGAACTTTGTTTTTTTTCAAACTACATTTGTAATCTATAATGATGTTTAGAATAGATTGAGGGGAAGATCACTCTTAAGTACCTCCTGTTAGCTAAATTTTGTGTAGAATCTATGGCATGCTTTAAATGACAAATCAGGTTTATAAAAATATTTATAGACAATATATTTATGAAATCAATGTAGGGGTATTTGTATACACAGTTGTACTTAATTTTATTTATATATAAAGTATATGTTATAGTATAAGGTATAATATGGATATAATTTTGAGATCAAGGGAGTATCTTAGAAGAATTGACCAACTCATTTCTTTCTCTAGCTGTAAAGTATTCACTACATGTAATTAAACACTGCCCTTTCATTTTGACTTAGACCTGGAGGAGAGAAGTTACTCTGAATCTATTAAGAAAGTGGTAATTGATGGTTTTGTAAATGTGTAATTATTGTTAATTTTTATTTCTGTATGAACTGATAATGCACTTCGTTTAGTGTGAACAGGTTATTTATGATCGTTTATGTGCTTAAATTGGTTCAGTATACTTTCTAAGGCATGAAGTTGATCTTAACTGTAAAATAATGCACGATTCTTCTCTAAACCAAACTTTCTGGGATAATCTATTTTTAATTGAAGGAGCCTGGGTTTCTTTTTTTTCCCCCATTTTAACAGGGTATTGACATAGGAGATAGTTTAACTATTCCGGATGAGTTCACGGAGGACGAAAGGCAGTCGGGACAGTGGTGGCGGCAGCTTTTGGCCGGAGGCGTTGCTGGCGCCATCTCGCGGACAAGCACGGCCCCTTTGGATCGCCTAAAAGTCATGATGCAGGTGAACTTCATGATCTTGTGTCCAAGTTTGTTCCAAATACCCTAAAACAATGGAAAATAAGGTGATTCGAAGAAAAAGTTTCAAAATTCTCAGTAATCGTCTTTCACAGCGTTAAAAAACATCTCTCTTATTCCTATTAACCCTAAATTCAGCCCATGGAAGTAGCTTAGTGTTCTACCAAACCTTAAATTGTTGATATGTGATCTTTGTGATCTTTGGTGTTCTATGACTGTGGAAATGTTTAATTTAAAATAAGTCTCCAGTTATTATTGTAATGTTCTTAAATTATTTATATTTTCCTTTCTATTTTATGTACTTTCTCAAAAGTGAGGTTTTTCCGAAATATAGAATCTTGGAACAAAGGAAAAATGAGGGAATTAAAAAATTATTCTAAAGCTGGGGTTAGCAGAAAAAGACCTGGATTTATAGACTGACTTTGCTATTTACTGCAGTGTAGCGTTGGCTGGTCAGTCCAGAAAGAAAGAGGCAAAGGAAAGGAATTGTTATTTACCTGATGGTCATCATGGTGACCCATCCAATCCTCCTAGTAACTCAGTGAGGTAGGCATTTTATCCTCGTATGACCTGTGGGAAATCTGAGGCTCAGAGAATTAAATAGCGTTTCCTCTACAACGAGTTAGAGGAGGGATGAAGTATCTCACGGTTCTTACACCGCCTGAAACCCCTGAGGTCTCATTTGCTTTCATTCTGGAATGGGGAGAAAAATATCTAAAAAAGGGTGTTTGTAAGAATTAAATACCATAAGGTATATCAAAATGCCTGATACAGTGGAACACCCCACTGGAATATAGTAGTTGCTTAAAATATATTTTTTAGAAGCTGAGTTTGTTATACCTATGGTCAACCCTTTTTGTATTTGTCCTTGTGTTTCTGTACAAAACTATTTCTGACAGTATTTTAAACCAGCATCCATACAGAATGTACCTAATCTCAAAATGGATTTAGAGGTAAAGATAATGATTTAAAGAAAAAAGAGAGAGAATTGATGTGTGTGTGTGTTTCTTTAGGAATATTAGTAAATTGAGAGAGCTTGAATAAGCATTCATCTTTTCCTTGGTCATATTTTATTGTGAAGTTTATTTAAAATAAAGTGACTATCTCTGGACTTTAGTTTCTGTAGGTTCAGGGGGTTGCCTAACAACCTTCAGATTCAATAATTCAGGACTCATTGAACTGTTATGATTTATTATAAGGAAAAGATACAGATTAAAATAAGCCAAAGAAAGGAGAACCATAGGGCTGATCCTGAGGAAGTACCAAACGCAGAGCTTCTGTTTTCCTCTCCCTGGAAAGTCACGATGTGTCACCTTCCTGGCATTCACGTGTGACAATATGCAGAGAGTGTTGCCCACCAACCAAGAAAGGTTGGTGGGCAACACTCTCTGCATATTGTCACCGAGTCTTTGGTGTCCAGAGTTTTTGTTGTGGCTCTGTCATGTACTTTCCTCATGACTGACCTTTAGACTTCGGCCCCTACCCTCTTTTTTTTTTTTTTTTTTTAGTGGAAGTCACTCATTTTGTGTAAGCTAAAACAATCAGAAGAATAGCTGGTTTCTTTAATTATTTTTGATTTATTAGATTTAATCAGTTTTTAGATAGAGGCAGTTATAAGGTCTAGTATAATAACTATCACATCTATAGTATAAGCAAAATAATTCTTCAGTACTCACTGGGTTAGGTGGTTGGTACATATCGTCTGAATTTGTTGCCTAGGGAGACCTCGAGATAAGCTGTAGAAGGTTTTTATTTTTATTTTTGGTGTCAGACTGTGTGCATTCCAGTGTCTTTGGCTCTGATGTACATACTATCCAAATTGTTTTTAGACACATTTATATTTCATGTTGGTATTACTTCTTGGGAGAGATAATATATTACCCGCAGTACATATTTTTGTTTTTCTTAAACTGAACTTTTTCACATTCCAAAGGGTATTCTATAGCCTAATACATAGTTTAGTTCATGTTTTCCTATAAATGTTGATCATAACTTTAATTTTGATCATGTTCTCTCTGCCTTTTCACACTGAAGATACCAATTTTTTTTTTTTTTTTTTTAAGTTTTAGATTCAGAGTCAGGCTTCTAAAATGGAGGTAATAACTTTTCCCATTATTATGTATTTTCTCAACCTATATTTTATTTTCAAGTACATCTTCTTGCATTAATAAACAGCATCGGAGAAAAGATTACGGTTTGTATGGTTACTCCAGAAGTAGTAATAATAACATGCCACCAGTATTTTATGTATTTTGCTTTCATTTTTAGGTCCATGGCTCCACGTCAGACAAAATGAACATATATGATGGCTTTCGACAGATGGTGAAAGAAGGAGGCTTCCGCTCCCTTTGGAGAGGAAATGGTACAAATGTCATGAAAATTGCTCCTGAGACAGCTATAAAGTTCTGGGCGTATGAACAGGTAATTGCTATTGCTATATTGTTAGTGAAGGTATAATTCTATGCAGTAGCTACACAAACTGTTTTTCTAAGTCGTTTGGTTAATATTTCTTTGTCACCCGTTAGTTTTATTTGTACCGGTGAAAATAAACTCATCTTACAAAAAGGAAAACTATGGGGTTAGGGTTAGAGAAAGAGAAAGAGAGAAAGAAAACTCTTTAGTGTCTCTTCTGATCAGGACACTGATCCTGTCACGAGGGCAAGGCCCTGATGACCTCATCTAACCCTAATTCCCTCCAAAGGCCCCGTCTCCAAATTCCATCACCTTGCTGGTTGCAGCTTCAACACCTGAATGTGTGTGTGGAGGGTGGGGGGACACAATTCTGTCTATAGCAGGTATTAAAGTGCATTTAAAAATTTATTTATACAGTACAAGAAGTTGCTTACCGAGGAAGGACAAAAAATAGGAACCTCTGAGAGATTTATTTCTGGTTCCATGGCTGGAGCAACTGCACAGACTTTTATTTATCCTATGGAGGTAAGTACCATTGCGGAGTCTGACTGTATTAACGGAGTTTGTATTAATTATCTATTGCTGTGTAGTAAGTTACCCCCAAATCGACAGCTTAAAACAATAAGCATTTATTATCTCACAGTTTCTGTGGATCAAGAATCTGAGTAGCTTTAGTTGGGTGCCTCTGGTTCAAGGTTTCTCACAGCCTATAGTCAAGGTATCAGCCAAGGCTACGGTCACAGCAAGGTTTACCTGGGGGTGGACGTACTTCCGGCTCACCTGTTTCCCTGGCTCTTGGCTGGAGACATCAGTTTCTTATTACATGGCCTCTCCATAGACTGCTTGAGTTTCTTCACAGCACGGTAGCTGGTTTTCCCCAAGTCAGTGATCAGAGATAGAGAGAGGGAGAGAGTGTAAGCACCCAGGATGGAAGCTATAGTCTTTTGTCACCTCTGCTGCGTTCTGTTGGTCACACAGACCACCCACGGTAGAGTGTGGGAGGGGACTACACAGGGTGTGAATACCAAGAGGGAGGGGTAGGTGGGGGCTGTGTTGGAGGCCGGCCCCAGTGTTGCTAAGCATGATGACACCCGTTCCTCTCCAAAGAGTTCTGGCACCAAAAGTTTTATAAGGGAACCTCAGGATTTGACATGGTGATGGTTGACCTGCCTTGATATTCTTCCATTCGAGCGTGGTTGGCAAATCATGAACCTGTGGACTATTTTATACAGCCCTCGAGCTAAGAATAGTTTATACATTTTTAAAAGGCGGTTAAAAGGAAAAAAAAAAAAAAAACCCAAACCAATATACTACAGAGACCTGATATTTTAGATTTGCAAATATATGCTATTTGGCCTTTACCGAAAAAGTTTTCCAACTCCCACCTTAGAGCAGAAATGATATTGTAGATGTGGGCATCTTTATTGATATGAAAAAGGGGTTTTCAATAACTTATAAGATCTAGGGAAGGTATGCCCTTAATTTTCACATTTGTGGTATGCACATCGCTATAGCTTTCCTTGCAAGCATCTTAATATGATTGTTCATATTACTCCATACATCCCTCAAAAAAGTGTCCTAACTCAATACCGCGTCGTCCTCTTACATCGTTCATTTCAGGAAATAATAGCATCACCTTTCCACCTCCCTGTTGCCCTCATCCCATGCGCCAAGCTGGATGCGCCGGAATCATCTTTTATACTCCGTATCTAACTGGTCACCAGTCAATTTTGTTAAGACATCAATAGATTGTCTTTTCTCTGTTTCCTCTGCTACCGCCCTCGCTCAGATCCTCTTTGCAATAAATGGGTCCTCCTGGCTCTCTCCTTAACCCCTCAATAGTGATGATAGGTGAGGGAGAACACACCAACTAACGGGACAGTCACGTGGGTGACGATATGTGCTAGGTAGTTGTTTTCTGCAAAATCACTTCCTTTAAATGTTGTGGCGATAGAGTTAATATGAGCACTAGTGTTTTGTTATATTCTTTCTTACCCAGGTTATGAAAACCAGGCTGGCCGTGGGCAAAACCGGACAGTACTCTGGACTATTCGATTGTGCCAAGAAGATTGTGAAACATGAAGGCCTGGGAGCTTTTTACAAAGGTTATATTCCTAATCTATTAGGCATCATACCTTATGCAGGTATAGATCTTGCTGTATATGAGGTGAGTGTGTAGCAATTTTTTGAATTTGAAAGTATAGTTAAATAGTTCTTATTGTTCGAATGTGACTTTGTATAAAGAAGTACACATATACCAGGGAACAGTTTGTGATCAAAAGGGAATTCAAGGGTGTGTTATTTGATCTTTTCAAGTACCTTGCCTGAGACCCCATACACCTGTGGTCAGTTTTGTATTAGATTTCCCTGTGAGTTATTTTTATTAATGAAGATAGTAGACTTACATTCAGATATAGTTGTTCAGCTTAGAAGATGGTACTGGGGATTTTTTTGAGGGGAAAGAAAGTAAGCAAAAATGGCACATTTTCTGTGATCTGCTCCAATCTGACATTGATAAAGTATGTGGGTAGCTCAGAGTTATCCCTGGTAGTGATGAGGTGACTCAGACTGCAAATCTTGAATCGGCCTCGCCATTTAAGCCATTTGATAATTTATGAATCTGGCAAACATTTCTTGGACACACATTGTGTGCAAGCCACGGGGTTAGACACTGGATGTAAGAGGTCGAACGAAGGACGTGGTGTCTGCCTTTAAAAACCTGAAGATCTGGTGTGGGGGAGAGACAAGCAAACAGCTAACGCACAGTGCGGTCAGGTGTCCCTCGTCAGCCAGTAGCTGGGGGCCGGGGAGGGGGTGGAGTGTGTAGTGAAAGCTTTTTGGAGGACTCTACTTTTTAAAAAACAGCTTTATTAAGCTATAATTCACATGCCATATATTTCACTCGTTTAAAGTGGACAATTCAGTAGCTTTTGGTATGTTACATCATTATTTTTTTTTAATTGTGGTAAAATATATATAACAGAATTTGCCATTTTAACCATTTTTAAGGGCACAGTGCAGGGGCATTAGTTACACACATTGTATGCAATGTGTGTAATATTTGTCCTTTTTTTTTACCCCTGGCTTATTTCACCTGGCATAATGTTTTTAGGGTTAATCCATGTTGTAGCATATATTGGAACTTCATACCTTTTTATGGCTGAGTAATATTCCACTGTATGTTATACCACATTTTGTTTATTTATCTGTTGATGGACACTTGAGTTGTTTTTCCCTTTTGGCTGTTATGAATACTGCTGTAATGAAAATTGGATACAAGTATCTGTTCCAGTCTCTGCATTCAGTTCCTTTGGTTATATACCTAGGGGTAGAATCATTGGATTACATGGTGATGCTGTATTAAGCTTTTTCAGGAACAGTCAAACTTTTTTCCATAGCAGCTGCATCCTTTTCCACTCCTACTAATAGTACACAAGAATTCTAATTTCTCTACATCCTTACTAACACTCATTAGTTTCTGAGTTTTTTTTTCCTTTGAGGGGGGTGGAGGGGAGGTTATGTTGTTGTTGCTCTTGTTTGTTTGTTTGTTTTTGGAATAGTAGCCATACCAGGAGGTGTGAGGCAGTATCTCATCGTTCTTTTGATTTGCATTTCTCTGATGATAACTGATGTTCGTCATCTTTTCTATGCTTGTCGTCCACGTATACATCCTCTTTGTACTAATGTCTAGCCAAGTCCTTTGCCCATTTTTAATTTTTTTTATTGTTGTTGTTGACTTGTAGCAATTCTTTAAATATTTTGAATATTAACCAGATATATGGCTTGCAAATATAGTCTCCCGTTCCATAGATTGTCTTTTCACTCTGTTGATTGTTTCCTTGGCTGCACAGAATTTTTTAAGTTGAAGAAGTCCATTTTTCTATTTTTGCTTTTGTTTTGCTTATGCTTTTGGTGTCATATCTAAGAAATTATGTCAAATCCAATGTCTTGAAGCTCTTAGCCTGTTTTCTCTGAGGAGTTTTATGGTATTAGGTCTTATGTTTAGCTCTTTAATCCATTTTGCATTGATTTTTGTATATAGTGTAAAGTAAGGGTCCAACTTTATTCTTTTGCCTGTGGATAGCCAATTTTCCCAGCATCGTTTGATAAAGAAACTTCTTTCCGCAGTGTGTAGTCTTGGCATCCTTGTTGAAGGTCATTTGGCTGTATGTTCAAGTTTATTTCTAAGCTTTCTGTTTTGTTTCATTGATCTATGTATCTGTCATTATATCGCTACTACACTGTCTTGATGACTGTTGCTTTACAGTATGTATTGAAATCAGGCAGGTAAGGCCTCCACATTTACTCTTCCAAAGTTATTTTAGCTACTTGGGGTCCCTTGAGAGTCTATATAAATTTTAGAATGTTTTTCTGTTTCCTCAAAAAAATATCATTTGATTAGGGATTGTGTTGAATTCGTGGATTGTTTTGGGTGGTTTATGAGTATTCTTGGGCTACAATAATGAAGTATAAAATTTCCCACATATTAGCATACATTTTTATACTTAAAATATTTTACATTTAAAAAGATTAGCATACATATTTTATACAACTTCTCTCAATTATTGCCTTCTAAAGGAAATGCAGGAACCTAGAATAACAGGGAAAAAAGCATGGCCCAGGGGGATCAGTATACGTGATTTTGTACCGTTGTTAAAAAAAAAAACTGCCGAAACTAATTTTCCTCATTTCTAAAATCAGAAGAATGGCTCCACTTCAGAGCTTTGTAAAAGGACCCCATGACATAACATGTGTAAAGTACAAATTTAGATACAATTAGTTGTATTACATTATTTATATTAACACGATAGGAAATGTTCTTTATGTCCTACATTCCGTGTGCTATCGTTCTTGCTGTTTATTTGGAAGAAGATGAGCAACCAGTGCAAACCTCACGTGTTCTGAATCCCCAGCCACTTCCCCACCTCTTTACAGAGCTGCCGCCCCCTACATTGGCTGCCAGGCCTGGGAGTGTGCCGCCCCATCTTGCAGAAAGGTGGCCTGTCTCCCGTAAGAACGAGAGTAGCCGTGAAAATGTTCATGTTGACTGAAAGCAGTCCGAAAGGCAGTCATTCACTGTTCTTCTTCTCATTCACTGTTCTTCTTCTTTTCTGTTTCTCTGGCAGCTCTTGAAGTCTCATTGGCTGGATAATTTTGCCAAAGACTCTGTAAACCCCGGCGTCCTGGTGCTGCTGGGATGTGGCGCCTTATCCAGCACCTGCGGGCAGCTGGCCAGCTACCCCTTGGCTTTGGTGAGAACGCGCATGCAGGCTCAAGGTCAGTTTTTAATGAAAGGATGCCGCTGATAACAAGTCCCGCAGCACTAACGTGGTTTTGAAACTTCAAGTTCTATTGAGACAGCAGGATGTGGTCTTAAGATGGTATCTCTCAACCTTTTTTTCATTATCGCCTCTCTAAAGACCCTTTTTACAAATTATTTCCTTAATCACTCACTCCCTCTTCATAAAGTTTTCCTACCACAGACAACTGCATATGTATGTGTATCTGTGCTTTATGCATAAGCAGAGTAAGAATTTTTTTCGGCCTATGCCGAGGACGCATGTTTTAAGAATCTAGAAGCTTTCGTGTCTCGATGGACTCGAGCTCAGATTCTTGTGCCGAACCTCTTCGGGTTTTCATTTTCTCGTCTGTAAATAGGAATGAAAACGATACAGTGTTGTAAGAATTAGTAACAATCTATCTAAAGCACCTGGCATTTGTCAGGTTCTTGATAAATGGTGGCTGGACTTGTTTATTATAATGACCCTGCAGCTTTTAAATCGATCCCTCTCCACCATGACACTGTCTCCTCCCTTGACTTTGGTGACACGGCGCCCTCCTGGCTCTTCTGCCATCTCATGGATTATTCTCTTATGGTTTGCTGGCTTTTATTGCTCTAAGAGCATGCA